GTATACTGTACATACTGAGTTAGACAATCATCACAAAACAAAAACAAAAAAAAGACTGCAATCAGGGAGAGTTCTGACTCAGAACCTATGTAAAGTAATTGCAGCTACCATACAGAGAGCAAGGGTGCCACTCTGCAGCATGCTGGCTGGTCACAGGCTTTTCTACTCAGAATGTGGCTAATCTAAAAAAAAAAAAAAAAAAGCCTCCTTTGCAAACCTTTGTTTTTATGCGCCTGTTTATTTATTTTGAAAGTTCAGTTTGGTTTTAAAAGAGAAGTGTGTGATCAGGGCTGCTGGTTGAAACCATGGTGCCCTATACAAACAACCAGACAGGGCCCCTTCCCCACAAAAAAAACACAGGTTACAATGCCTTAGTTATGAATGAACACAGTGAGTTCTCAGTACCGATCACTCATTGTATTCATTCAGGAATGAAAGGGGCTGGTAAATTTGACATATTTACCAGACCCTTCCCACATTCTCCATGCCGAAGGATCCTACTGTGTGTCTGCAGCTGCCAATGGGAAGAAGAGGAGGGAAACGGGCAGCCTTGCATGGGTGGGGGCATACAGTGGGACTTGGGCAGCAGGGGGTAGCTTATGGTGTACAGGGAGGGTAATGGGTGCGGGGAGGCAACTAGTGGAACCAACGCCCTGTATGGCTGTCTATGCAGCAGCTGACAGTCAGCCGCAAGGAGAGGAGAAGAAGCCAGCTTTCAGCTGCTGCAGAGAGAGCCATACAGGGGATCGATTCCTGTATTTGCTCCCCTGTCTTGCCGATCATCTCCCTGCCCTCATCTGATTTACCCAGCTGCCTGGGGGGCCCAAGCTGACCTAGGCCCCATACAGGAGGACTGGTGGTACCCCCTTATCCACGGCCCTTTGTGGGATTAACCCTTTCACTGCCGGGTCTATACAGTGTACGGACCTACAGCACTGCTTCCAGCTGGTCAGGTCCATACGCCGTATGAACCTGCATTCCTTCTTTGCTATAAGCTCATGGTCACTTCAACAAACACTTCCGAACAAAATAATAGCTCTGATGAGCAGATGACAATCCGCTGATCAGAGCTATTCAACTAAAATGTGGCACCCCCCCACACCCCTGCAACTGCTGCTGCTGCTGCTAATCTACTGGGATTCTCACCCCCATCATCTACAATTCACCCTTGTCCACCTCACTAAACTTTGCAGCACCCATTTTCTTTACCTCCGCCTCCCCTACTCCCCCCTGCATCGATCCTCTCCACCAATCCTGCCTACCGTATCATCCTGCAGCTTTAGACCGGCTTCCCTCCACTGCTCTGCTGGCTTTCTATGCTGCTGGGGAGTGGATTTAAAAAAAAAAAAGTGCACGTGCCCCTGCCATGGTTCAACAATCCTCTGTCAGCCCTCCCTGCAGTGTTTTCAGCCGTCATTCCCTCCCTCCTTGCCGCTGACTGCAGCTGCTGCTCAGGGAGGAGATACCGTCAATTTATGAATGAATTGCTATTCATTCATGTGCATTGAGGTTACAGAGAAAGGGACTGAACTCTGTCTTCAGTCCGTTTCTCTGTCTCAAAAAAGAGGCATCAGGGGTTGTTAATATCTCTGATATCTCACCAAATCCCCCCCCCCCCCCCAAAAAAAAAAAATTAAAGTCTTTTTCACACAGGGCATACTACAGCATACGCCCCTGGGTGTTTACCTGCATGGGGATGCTTACGCGATCCATGCATCCCCATGCAGGCAGTTCCATTGATGCTAATTGGGATGCAGTGGCTGCATGGACTCAGCCGCTGCTCTCAAGTTGACATCCGTGTGGGTCCAGGTGCATGTCCCTGAGCGCAACTCTCGGGGCCGTGCACCCATGCCCAGAAGGATGCCATGTTGGGAGCAACAGCTGTGTTGCTGCATCCCAATTGACATCAATGAAACTGTGGGTATGTGCAGAACACACTAAGCATCCCCATGCAGGTGAACACAGCCCTCCACAGGCATACACTTTACTATGCTTCATATGAACAAGCCCTTAGCAGGAATTTAGCAGAAATGTTGTAAATTATGTTGTGTCCGCTAATAATGATTTTAGTGTATTTTTTAATGAAAATAGTGATTTGATAAACATTTGTGCAACTATTGCGGGGCCTAAAAAAAAATCAGTTGCACTTTCTTCTTTAATTCTACAGGTCATATGCTTTCAGAAAATATATGGTTTGGGGGTATTTTACAAATTCTGAAAGCTGTAAGTGAAAAATTATATTTAGAGTAAATTGTGGTTTTTTTTACAGTTTTGCGCACCTTCAGTTTTCACCATTTCACAACAAAGGCGTAATTTAAAATGTACAAATATTTGTTAATAATTCAACACAGTTTATTTTTTATACTTAGTAGGACTTTAGCAGGAATTTTGTAAGTTTTGCTGTGTTTGTGTCAGCGAATAAGGATTTTTGTGTATTTTTACCAAAAAAATGGTTTTGATAAACATTTGCACAAATATCACGGAGCTTTAAAAAAACCGTAGTACCTTTTTTTTATTCTACTGGTCCTATGCTTTCAGAAAATGTATGGTTTTCTCTCCAAACTCTGAAAGCTGTAAGGGAAAAATAAAGGGAAAATTGCAAAAATGGTCTGGCCATGAGTTTAAAAGTGGAGCGCAACGGCTGAGTGATGTCAGCCAGCCACTGACGGCTGAATATGGTTCACAGTACTGCAGAACTAACTGCACTCCTGTGATCTGCAAGAGAAGTATGGCCAAAAGAGCTTCAGTCATACTTCTCCTTTAACCTCTTCCTGTCTAGCCCATGCGGACAGGAGCGTAAACAGTTGGACAGGAGCACTACCGATGTGGGGGGACGTTTCTAAACGTCTCCCCGCATCCATTACCCGTGTGTGCTCCCTGGGTGCATGCAGTGCCGTGATCTGTGCCCACTGTGTCTGAACACAGATGTACGGGACTGCTGTGTGAGATCCCGATTCATGTGATCAGTGATTGGTCAATCAGTGATCACATGAATGGTAGTAAACAAGATGTCACTTCCTGACATCATTGTTTACTACTTGTGAATTCTGTGAATGATCACAGAGATCACATGGTACAAGGCTATTCACAGCAGCCTCATACCATGTGATAAGCTGTGGCCAATTACAGCTCTCACAGTATTTCTCAATGGCTGCAAGAATGCAGCCAGAGAGAAGGAGAAATGATTGCTTTTACAACCTGTATGGGTGTAAAAGCAATCAGTGTAGAAAAAAAAAAATCTTAATCACCCCCCCCCATTTTACATACGGTCACCCTAGCAGTACAGTGTCGTGACACTGTACTGCTAGGGTGACCGTATGTAAAAAAACCCAAAAAAAAAAACCAAATAATATTTTAAAAAAAGTAAACTTTTTTTGAAAAATTATAATTATTTTTTATAAACTGATTTGGGTTATTTGTTTTTACCAAAAAGGTAGCTGAATACATTGTGGCCAAGATTTATGAAGAAATATTGTTTATTTGCAAAATTCTATAAGAAAAACCCGTTTTATTCTAAATTGTTGGTCTTATTTCATTTATATAACAAAAAAATTAAATCTCAGTGGTGAATAAATTATACCAAAAGAAAGTTTTATCTGTCTCAAATAAATGCTAAAAATGTCATTTGGGTACAGTGTTGCATGACTGAGCAATTGTCATTCAAAGTGTGACAGCTCTGAAAGCTGAAAATTGGGCTGGAAGGAAATGAAAGTGTCTGGACTTGAAGTCTAAGAACTGCAGCCATTCCAAGCATTTCGATCCTTACATCTCACAATGGGAACTACTTGAAATGATAAACAAAGGCTGCAGTGTAACAGTGGACTGACCCTGAAACCCTGTTTGATTTAGTTGCATCCCAAACTGAATGCTGAGCAGTAGGGATTTAACAAATGGCCAAACAAAGTGGCCATACTTTCCAGGAATAAGAGTCTAACTGAATCTTAGGGGGCACCCCACCTTTTCCCTTTGTTTTAAACTGTACTGTCCCTTTTAAAAAAAAAAATCATGGAATCCCCCTTAAAATCAATACTATGACTGAAATTACCATATTTGGTTAATTACAAACACCATTCAGCCTGGGGATATGTATTATTTCATTACTGCTGCAAATTAACAGATAACCAGCCGGTTGTTTTTTGTAAACACACCAGGGATCATGTTTGATGTCATTGACTAAATATGATCATGTCAGTCATAGTATGAATTTTAATGGCGGGGCAGTATGAAAAAAGGGATAAAAACAGCATGGGGCTCACTCTAATATTCAATCCAGACATATAGCCTTTGTGGTCAAGAAAAGGAGAGCAGTGTGTATGCAGCCCCCTTCCTAGACCATACAAAAAGGCATGCCTTCAACATTGGGGCAGCACCTTGAAAGGAAGGGGTTGGTAAAGGAAGGCACCTTTTCCCCGTGTTGAGGAGGCAAAGACCTAGACCCCAATAGGATGTGGGGTTGGTGGGAGGTGGGACTTATGAGATCCTGGGGCCCCTAGATATTCCTATTCTTGCAGGGGAATGAGTACAGGGTACAATAGAACCCTTTGTTACTCATTCTCTCAAAAATGTCAAAAGTAAATAAAGACACCCATAATGTTAAAAAGTCCTTTATTAAAAATAAATAATAGGCTTCCAATGTAAATCCAGCATCAATCACGTCATTCACTCTGGATATTCCACTACTTTAACCACCTCCCGCCCGCCATATAGTAATATGATGGGCGCAAGGTGGTTCTCTCGTTCTGGGAGGACATTATATGACATTCTCACTGCGCATGCGTGGACACAGCAGATCACCGATCACGGAAAGAGCTGAAGATGTCGGCTCAGTCATGTGATTAGCTGTGTCCAATCACAGCTGATCACATGTAAACAGGGAAATGCCGGTTATCGGCATTTCTCTCCTCTCGAGCTGTCACGCTGACAGCTCGAGAGGAGAGCCGGTAATCAGCTTTCCGTGGAGGGGACATGTACACTGATCATCAGGGCACTGATGATTAGTGTGCTCTGATGTGGCCCCAGCAGTGCCACCTGTCTGTCAGTGCCTTGTGTCAGTGCTCATCAGTGCCTTATGTCAGTGCTTATCAGTGCCTCGTGCCAGTGCCCATCAGTGCCACATCAGTGCCACATATCAGTGCCTCCCAGTGCACATCAATGCCACATATCAGTGCCCATCTGAGCTGCCTTTCAGTGTCACTTATCAGTGCCAGTCAGTGCCACCTATCAATGCCAATCATTGCCACCTATCAGTGCTGCCAATCAGTGCCACCTATCAGTGCCAGTCAGTGCCGCCTATCAGTGCCGCCTAACAGTGCCTGTCAATGCCGCCTAACAGTGCCAGTCAGTGCTGCCTAACAGTGCCAGTCAGTGCTGCCTATTAGTGCCAGTCAGTGCCACCTATCAGTGCTGCCTATCAGTGATGCCTTTCAGTGCCCATCAGTGATGCCTGTCAATGCCCATCAGTGCCACCTACCAGTGCCTGCTCATCAGTGCCCATCACTGCCACCTATCAGTGTCCATCAGTGCAGCCTATCAGTGCCCATCAGTGCAGCCTCATTAGCGCACATCAGTGAAGGAGAAAAATCACTTATTTACAAACTTTTATAACAAAAACTAAGAAAAAACAATTTTCAGTGGTTTTTAGTTTGTTTAAGAAAAAATGAAAAACCCAGAGGTGATTGAATACCACCAAAATAAAGCTCTATCTGTCACAAAAAAAATGATAAAAATTTCATATGGGTACAATGTTGTATGACCGCGCAATTTTCATTCAAAGTGCGACAACACTGAAAGCTGGAAATTGGCCTGGGCAGGAAGGGGGTATAAGTGTCCTGTAGGCTAGTGGTTAAAAGCTCCCTAAAACTATTTCAAACCTCATACAGCCATTTCAGTTTATTTGTGCATCATCAGGACCCAGCGAGAAAGTATAAAGGGCAGTTCACTTGACTTTTATTATTTGGAATAATAAATAAGAAGCCGGTGTAGGAAGTCTTTATGTTTGAAGTGATCTACAGCATCTCTAATTAGTTTTAGGGCTTATTTACATTTGCAAAGAATCTCTTTGTAGTGGGCGTTTGAAAGGTGGCTGAGAGGTGATTTGTCACTGCCTCACCACTTATTATACCCCGTAAGCCTGCACCACCTCACCACAACCATGTGCATTGCAATAGTTGCAGGGGGGTACTTTTATTCAGCCTGCAGTCTCCTGTTAGTTCCAAATATATTGTGCTAAGACCTGTAGTTATGGCTGCAGTACAGATACCACAGGAAGTAGATCGGCACCTCCTCTATTTAGAAAAATTAATGTATTCTTTTCACTGAATGCAAGGCTTTCTGTGATTGGAGGGGGAGATTGTGATGATCCTCCACACCTCCTCCATTCAAAGAATGCCTTGCATGAAAAGAAATTAAGTAATGACAGTTAAGAAAAGTGTTATTGAAAGTGGTTATGACAAAAAAGTAATTCCTTGAAGGTGAAAACAAAGGCAATACCTGTGACGCAGAAAATGTCTCTAGACTGGTCAGTCAAAATGTGAAATATCAAGTTGTAACAGGAGGCAGAAGTCAAGCACAATGGAAGTATTCTGCTGGTTTAGATTACATTTCTGCAAATAAAGTTAGTAATTTTGTAAAAATTTATGACAAACTCACTGGGCAGATTCTTAACCATGAAATATTGTGATAAAAGCATTTGTTTGGTTCAAATTTCATCATGCAACACAACATTGATCCCAAATACATATCCCCCAAAAAAAGTTATCACCTTCCCAAGAGCCCTGATTTCAACATCACCAAATCAGTCTGGAATTAGAACACTGCCCTCTGACTTTTATTCGGCATGGTTTGTTGCTAAACATCAGTGGTACTGTCCTTCGATTTGGGGTATTAGAGTGTAGGAGAAGGCTTAAAGCCTCCCAGTCAATACCAGTAATTGTTTCTGACGAAGGGATAATGCCCCCGAAAACATGTCCAGCCTTTCCAGTGTTCTGACATTGGATGGTGTTTAGTGCCTGCACAACAAAAAGCACTTTCCTGCCAGTCCAGAACTGCTTTTATATTTTATAAGTGATTGCTACATGCACTTCAATAAGTAGCAGTTTACATTTTAATTCAAATAATATTTATCTACTTCATGAGGTGAATTGGATGTGGGCAGGGAGGGTGAGGGGCAATTACTGAAACCGATCCCCTGCATAGCTCTCTCTGCAGCTGCTGAAAGCTGGCTTCTTCTCCTCTGCCTCCAGCTGCCGCAGAGAGCCATACAGGGGATTGGGTCCAATAATTGCCCCCCCCCCATGCACCATATGTTTCCCCCTGCTGCCCAGGCCCCCTTTTGAGCCCCACCCCTGATTGTTTTCCCATGTCTCCTTCCCACCTGCAGCTGCAAGCACACAATAGGATCCTTCAGAATGGAGAGTGGGGGAAGGGTCTGGTGTCACATTTAACAGCCCCTTCCTTTCCTGAATAAACACAAATGAGTGATCAGTACCAATCACTCACTCGGTTCATTTATAACTGAAGCACAGTAAACTGTGTTTTTTTGTTGGGGAGGCCCTGTCATGTTGGCTGTATGGGGCCCTGTGATTTCTAACAGCAGCCCTGTGAGCTGCTGTACATGCATTAAACTGGGAATCCACTGGGTCATTAACAAAATGTCTTTGTGGGCCTTTGCTAGAACTGAGGATATCAGTGTTGCAATTAGAACATTTATGCACATGTTTTAGAATAGCAATAATGTTTATATAAAAAGTATATTTATAAAAAAAAAAACATCTTTTGAAGGAAATACAAAATTAAATATCTAAGACTAATTAGTCACATCGAACTGAGCTTGTTCTGTAATGATGATATTTCATAGCTTGTCCAAGCCACTTCTTCATTTGTTTGTTCCTTGAAAATCTTCATGTTATTATAGGTATACAACAGCAAATATTTCAGAAACAAACAATAAACGTATGGGACTTTTAAGGTGCTAACATCTTTAGGAATGGACAACACCAACATTAATCATTTCAGCCCCGGAAGGTTTTCCCCCTTTCATCACCAGGCCATTTTTTGCTATTCGGCACTATTTCAACTGGTAATTGCGCGGTCATGCAACTCTACCCAAACAAAATGTATGTCCTTTTTCACACAAATAGAACTTTCTTTTGGCGGTGAAGCCCCCTGGTGGGTGGGGCAAAATGCATCAGAGGGTGTGGCTGGAGTGGCGGCTGAGGCCATCTCATGTACACTGGACTCTCTGGGTTTGTCCCTTGTATCGGAGCTACTGGAAGCATTTTTGGACGCTGCTTCATCATTCTATATACCAGCGGGGTTACTATCTCTTTTCTTTTCATCTTGGAGTGGTACCATAAATCTCCTCTGCAGTTTCTTTTGGTAGTATTTGATCACCACTGTTTTTTTTTTAATTTTTGTGATATAAAGGAAAAAAGAACAAACATTTTGAAAAAAACCCCAATATTTTCTACTTTCTGTTATAACAAATATCCAATAAACTCAAATTTAGTCAAAAATTTATTCTGCTACATGTCTTTGGTAGAAAAAAAAAAAATCCCAATACGTGTATAATAATTGGTTTGTGTGAAAAGTTATAGGATCACATTTCTTGAGGTGCTAAAATGCCAGGGCAGTGCAAATACCCCCCCAAATGACCCCTTTTTGTAAAACAGACACACCAAGGAATTTTCTGAGAGGTATGTTGAGCCCATGGAAGATTATATTTTTTGTCACAAGTTTTTAAAACAAATTACAAAAAAAAGTTTCCTTTTTTTACACAAAGTTGTCACTTAAATGATATGTTGCTCACACATGCTATGGGTATATGTGGAATTACAACCCAAAAATACATTCTGCTGTTTCTCCTGAGTAAAAAGATACCACATATGTGAGACTTTTTGGGAGCCTAGCTCCATAGGGGGCCTGAAAAGCAATTACCACCATCAAGCTTTCAAAGGGTGTAATTTCCTCACTTCACTTCCTCAGTATCTATTGCAGTTTCAGAAGCCCTGAAATGCCAGGATAGCCCAACCTCCCCCCCAAATTACCCCTTTTCAGAAAGTAGACATCCCAAGATGTTTGTCGAGAGGCATGTTGAGTGCATGGAAGATTTTATTTTTTGCCAAGAGTGTCTGGAAAAATGACAACTTTTTTTTTAATTTTACATATAGTTTTCACTTTAATATTTTGCGCACACATGCCATGGATATATGTGGAATTACATCCCAAAATGCTGCTTCCCCTGAGTATGGGGATACCACATGTGTAAGACTTTTTGGGAGCCTAGCCGCATACAGGTCCTTAAATGCAATAACCACCATCAGGCTTTCAAAGGGCATAATTTCCTCATTTCACTTCCTCGCTACCCATCACAGTTTCAGGGGCTCTGGAATGCCAGGATAGCACAGCTCCCCTTTAAATAACCCATTTTTGGAAAGTAGATACCCTAAGCTTTTTGCCTAGAGGCATGTTGATTCCATGGAAGATTTTATTTTTTGCCACAAGTTTTCGGAAAATGCCAATTTCTTTTTTTTACACAAAGTTGTCACTTAAATGATATATTGCTCAGATAACTTGGTTATACAGGTATGTGGAGAAACGTGTGAGATACTTTTTGGCAGCCTAGCCAAGATAGTACAAACACCCCCCCCCCAAATGACCCCATTTTGGAAAGTAGACACCCCAGGGAACTGAATAAAAGGCATAATGAGTATTTTTCAGATATAATTTTTTTTTTCTCTCTTCATTTTCCAAAAACTTGTGGCAACAAATGAGATCTGCAAAATACTCACAGTGACTCATAGTCAATTCCTTAGAGTGTCTACTTTCCAAAAGGAGTCATTTGAGGGAGGTGTTTGTACTATACTGGCATTTTAGGGCCTCAGTATTTGCGCAGCAATTTTTAAAATGCAAATATATTGTCCATTACTTAAAACTGTGTTCGCCCTGTGCAACGGCGACAATCTATATACATTTTTAATATCCAAAGGCAACGCTTTAAAAGGCTTTACAGGTTACCACTTTAGATTTACACACAGGAGGTCTAGTGCTAGAATTACTGCCCTCGATCTGACATTCAAGGTGATACTTCACATTGTGCAATCGCTGTTTACCTACCACTATGGAACTGACGCAACATGGGGGGACGGGGGTCCTGTACATTTTTTTAAATTAATTTTTATGCTTTTTTTATACTTTTACAGTTTCCCTTTAATCTTTTTTTTAACACTTTTCTTGTTATCACAGGGAGTGTAAATATCCCCTATGATAGCCACAGACAGTGACAGGTACTCTTTTCTGAGAAATTTGGGGTCTATTAGACCCTAGATCTCTCCTCTGCCCTTAAAGCATCTGATCACACCAAGATTAGTGTGATCAGATGCTCTCCCAATATAATAATGGTTCTCTTTATATCTGGCAAAACCGAAGTGACGAAATGCTCGTAGCTTCCGGTTTCTTAGACCATAGAAATGACTGGAGTTGTACCGGTTTT